TGGAATAGACAAGGTGGACAAAGACAGGATGTTCCAGGGAGGGGACACAGAAACAAGAGGCCACAATTGGAAGTTGAAGACACAAATGAGTCAGAGAGATATTACGAAGTATTTCTTCAGTCATAGAGTTGTCAGGCAGTGGAATAGCCTAGAAAATGACGTAGTGGAGGCAGGAACCATACACAGTTTTAAGACGAGGTTTGATAAAGCTCATGGAGTGGGGAGAGAGAGGGCCCAGTAGCAACCGGTGAAGAGGCGGGGCCATGAGCTAAGACTCAGCCCCTGCAACCACAAATAGGTGAGTACAAATAGGTGAGTACACACACACACACACACACATACATTTGATCATTAAAGTCAAAAACATTGGTTAACTTTAGGTGAGTGAGAATGGTTGGATTTTAGTAGGACATGCCAGCAGGCCTACTACAGTGCTCCATTTCATCAATAGAGCATTAGAACCCCACCCAGGGTATGTGAAATCATGTGTTGCAACTGTTTGGGTATGAAGAGACCTGTGCAGTGCCTGGAAATCTCCCTAGAGCTGACTGGAATTTTCAGTTTGTGACATCATACCAGCACTCGAAAAAAGTTTTGGATTTTGAAGAATTTGGGATTTTGGAAGAGATACTCATCCTGTATTTTCACAGCTGTTATGTTGCATTTTAAATATTACATTGTGCAAATTGAGAAGGCCATTGGTGAAATGCCTATGATTTTAAACTGATAGAAGATAGAGGTACGGGTGTATGTGGGAAACAAGCAGGTTTTATTTTTTTTTTTTTTTTATAATTTGTAGCATACATACAGAGGTACAAAAAAATACAGGTAAGAGTAACATGCCAAAGCCACTTATATGCATAGCATTACGGGCAGGCTTAAAATTAACTTAAGATTAACTAAGCAAAGATGTAATCAGTGATAAAACATTATTGTAAACAGATAATAAAGCACAAATGAGTATTACAAAGACAGGTCATATGGTTACATGCATTGCTGTACATTAAGTAGAATGGAGTATTCTGTTAGGTAGTGTATTTAAAAAATAACAAAGTTAGATTGGGTCTTAGGTTTAACATTTATGTGATATAATTGTGAGAAACATTTAGGATATACAATTTATAAGGTTCAGTTATTCAGTATTTATTTGGTTTTGGGTGAGTAAGTGATCTTTGAGAAGAGACTTGAATTTATAAGCAGGTAGTGTTTCTTTTATATTTACAGGTAATGAGTTCCAGATTTTAGGGCCTTTTAATGTGCATTGAGTTTTTGCATAGCGTAAGATGGACACGTAAGATGGTCATGAGTTTTGTTGAGGTTGGCAAGCAGATGTTTGAGGGGAGGGTTAATATCAGAGTTAAGTGTTCTATGTATGTAATAGGTGCAGTAATAAGTATGGATGTTTTGTATGGTGAGTAGGTTAAGTGTTTTGAATATTGGTGGAGTGTGCTGCCTGTAGGGTTGGAAACAGTAAATGTATAAAAGGCATTCAGCATGAAGTTATAAATAAAGACAATAGATCAGGTCAGCAAACAAAGGGGGACAGCAGAGGGCAGCAAGGGACTAGCTCCCTTAAGGTTTACTATACTAATAGCAGGAGTGTAAGAAATAAGATAGATGAGCTAAGATTAATTGCAAGTGCAGGAAACATAGATATTATTGCTATAACAGAGACCTGGCTCAATCTGAAAGATAGAGAGATGCCCTCTGAATGTCACATACAAGGCTATAAATTATTCCACACTGACAGGGTCAACAGGAAGGGTGGTGGAGTAGCGATGTATGTCAGAGACAATTTAAATTGTTGTGTTAGACAAGATATAAAATTAGAAGCGTCAGCCACTGAATCTGTTTGGTTACAGCTTCTCGAAGGCCGAGAAAAACTAATTTTGGGTGTGATTTACAGGGCCCCAAATCTTGATAGGGAGTGCAGTAAACTTCTTTGGGACGAAATTCGTAAGGCATCTACATATGAAAATGTTGTGCTAATGGGAGATTTCAACTATAGACAGATTGACTGGAGCAATTTGACAGGAAATTTAGAGTCAGGTAACTTTCTTGATACGATCCAGGATTGTTTTTTAAAACAGTTTGTGACAGAGCCAACTAGGGGAAATAACCTCCTTGACTTGGTTCTTGCCAGTAGGGAAACACTAATTAATGATCTTGAGGTTAATGATGAGCTTGGGGAAAGTGATCACAAATCATTCAGTTTTAATATATCATGGAATTCCCCTAATAATGGTAATCAAGCCTCTGTCCCTGACTTTAGCTTGGCTGATTTCATAGGACTGAAAAATTACTTAGGTGGGCTGAACTGGAATGACCTGACTAAGAGTCAGGTAGGTGGTGATGGTTGCCAATATGACGCTTTCCAGGGCATAGTTCTAGCTGCTCAGTCAAATTATGTTCCAAATAGGGAAATCAGATCAAACAAAAATGATCCTAAATGGATGAAAAATAGATTAAAATATCTGATTGGTCAAAAGAGAGGCATATATAGGCAAATCAAAAGAGGAGAGGGGCAATTAAGAAATCAATATATTCAGTTAAAGAGAGAAATAAAAAAGGGAATTAGAAAAGCAAAAAGAGATTATGAGGTTAAAGTTGCAAGAGAATCGAAGACTAACCCAAAAGGATTCTTTCAGGTATACAGAAGTAAGATCAGGGACAAGATAGGCCCACTCAAAAGTTCCTCGGGTCAGCTCACTGACAGTGATGAGGAAATGTGTAGAATTTTTAACACACTTCCTCTCAGTTTTTACACAGGAGGATACCAGCGATATTCCAGAAATGATAAATTATGTAGAACAGGACGATAATAAACTGCACGATTAGGGTCACAAGTGACATGGTCCTTAGGCAAATAGATAAATTAAAACCTAACAAATCCCCAGGCCCTGATGAACTGTATGCAAGGGTTCTAAAGGAATGTAAAGAGGAGCTTAGCAAACCTTTGGCTAAACTTTTCAACATATCACTACAAACTGGCATGGTGCCAGATAAGTGGAAAATGGCAAATGTGATACCTATTTTCAAAGCAGGTGACAGGTCCTTAGCTTCGAACTATAGACCAATAAGCCTAACCTCCATAGTGGGAAAATTTATGGAATCAATAATTGCCGAGGCAGTTCGTAGCCACCTTGAAAAGCATAAATTAATCAACGAATCTCAGCATGGTTTTACAAAGGGGCGTTCCTGCCTTACGAATTTATTAACTTTTTTTCATTAAGGTATTTGAGGAGGTAGACCATTGTATTGAATGTGATATTGTGTATATGGACTTCAGTAGGCTTTTGACAGGGTCCCACATCAGAGACTATTGAAAGAAAATTACAGGCACATGGAATAGGAGGGGAAATTTTTTTTCCTGGATAGAGGCATGGTTGACAATAGGCAGCAGAGAGTTTGCATAAATGGGAGAAATCAGAGTGGGGAAGCGTCACGAGCGGTGTTCCACAGGGGTCAGTGTTGGGCCCCCTGCTGTTCACAATCTACATGAACGACATAGATGAGGGCATAAAGAGCGACATCAGCAAGTTTGCCGATGGCACCAAAATAGGCTGTCGAATTCATTCTGACGAGGACATTAGAGCACTCCAGGAAGATTTGAATAGACTGATGCAGTGGCCGGAGAAGTGGCAGATGCAGTTTAATATAGACAAATGCAAAGTTCTAAATGTTGGACAGGACAATAACCATGCCACATATAAACTAAATAATGTAGATCTTAATATTACGGATTGTGAAAAAGATTTAGGAGTTCTGGTTAGCAGTAATCTGAAACCAAGACAACAGTGCATAAGTGTTTGCAATAAAGCTAATGGAATCCTTGGCTTCATATCAAGAAGCATAAATAATAGGAGTCCTCAGGTTGTTCTTCAACTCTATACATCCTTGGTTAGGCCTCATTTAGATTATGCTGCACAGGTTTGGTCACCGTATTACAGAATGGATATAAATGCTCTGGAAAATGTACAAAGGAGGATGACAAAGTTGATCCCATGTATCAGAAACCTTCCCTATGAGGATAGACTAAGGGCCCTGAATCTGCACTCTCTAGAAAGACGTAGAATTAGGGGGATATGATTGAGGTGTATAAAAAGGAAGACAGGAATAAATAAAGGGGATGTAAATAGTGTGCTGAAAATATCTAGCCTAGACAGGACTCGCAGCAATGGTTTTATGTTGGAAAAATTCAGATTCAGGAAGGATATAGGAAAGTACTGGTTTGGTAATAGAGTTGTGGATGAGTGGAACAAACTCCCAAGTACAGTTATAGAGGCCAGAACGTTGTGTAGCTTTAAAAATAGGTTGGATAAATACATGAGTGGATGTGGGTGGGTGTGAGTTGGACCTGATAGCTTGTGCTACCAGGTCGGTTGCCGTGTTCCTCCCTTAAGTCAATGTGACCTGACCTGACTAGGTTGGGTGCATTGGCTTAAGCCGGTAGGAGACTTAGACCTGCCTCGCATGGGCCAGTAGGCCTGCTGCAGTGTTCCTTCGTTCTTATGTTCTTATGTTAAATAAATAATTGGCATAAAGATGGCCACACAACTAAAAACATATAATTTCTTTTGTGTAAGGATTGGTTTGGCTAGGCCAAGTTTGATTAAATCAGATTGGGTTAGGTGAGATGATTTACAAAATGACTAACATTTCCCATATTCAAAATTAAAATTAAGTTCTTGATATTCTAATAATTATGTTGCCTACATTTCTGATTTTCTGCATTAATTGTACAGTGTTTGTTGTAGGTGTCTTTTTTTTTATCTTTTATTGATTGGAGTTATTATACATGATATATTTTTATTATCCCACATCACATTAATCTTAGAATAAAGCAGAGGAATATCTTAGAGAAAAATAGCAAAATAAATACTGTAACTGGTTCAGTGCAATAAAAATAATGTGATAAAATGTAACTAAATCAATATCCCAGCATTACTTTTTATGATTTTTCAAAAAATATCCTTTCAACAAAAGATTTCTATTTTCAGTTTAACCAGGAAATATGCTGCAACAACTGAATGCTATATCCAAGGGGCTTTTATCAACAGTTTTAAGGTCCACTGCATATCGAAGGTAGGAGGCAAAATCCTTTGTGTTTCAGTGATAAAGATTACAGAATAATTTGGAGTTGCATGTTACTGAGGTTCACATAGTCATTAACCCGTAAACGGTCCAAACGTATACGTATATGTATACGTTTTTATCGCTAGTGCCCCAAATGTATATATACGTTTTATTTGTCATATATTTAACATTGCCATGATAAGCCTGAGTCGCCTAGACATGAGAGAATGGGTGCTCGCACTTACTGTGTGCCATATTAAAATAATTGGGGATGCCTGGGTACCATATGCTCTTTTTTTCCTATTAAAAAAACTTTTTTTTTTTTTTCTCAAAAAAGTTGGGGCACTACGGTAGAAAACGTAAATATACGTTTGGACCATTTATGGGTTAAAGTGTTTGAAAATTAAAACATGTTTTGTAAAATCACTGTACAGTAGGGCCCTGCTTAACGGTGCTTCGCTTTATGGTGTTTTGCTGATGCGGACATTTCAGATTATGACCAAAACTCATTATATGGTTCTTCCCCTCCCCCACCTGACTTGCTAATACAGTCACCATATGCCATCCAGTTTGTTTTCATTCTCTGTGAGCTCTACATCTCCATTATGTCTGGAAACTTTCCAAAATTTCAAGTGTTTTTAACCCTTTCAGGGTTTCGGCCGTACTAGTACGGCTTACGCCCCAGGGTTTTTGACGTACTAGTATGCATAAATTCTAGTGCCCTCAAATCTAGTGAGAGAAAGCTGGTAGGCCTACATATGAAAGAATGGGTTTATGTGGTCAGTGTGCGCAGTATAAAAAAATCCTGCAGCACACAGTGCGTAATGAGAAAAAAAACTTTGACAGTGCTTTTGGTTTAAAACAGCGACTTTACGGTGTATTTTCGTATGGTATTTATGATGGTATTCTAGTTTTCCTGGTCTCATTTTATAGAATGGAAGACATATTACAGAAATTGAGACGATTTTGATGGGTTTTACAATGAAAAGTACCTTGAAATTGAGTTCAAAGTAGCAGAAATCTTCGATTTTTGCCAAAGTTCAAAAGTAAACATATCATGCTGTGCGTGCAATACACATCAACTGGTGAGTCTAATAATCTTTTGCAAGTGCACTGATATTATTTATACCATTTCTACACTAATGCAGTAGTCTGCATAACAGTAAATCTATTTTTTGTGAGAATAAAAATTCAAAGTGGAAAGCAAAAGAAATGTAAGAGGGGCCTGGGGACGTGACTAATGAACAGAGGAAATGTTATTTTAGTGCCAGGAATGTCTTTCTTGCTTATTCTGGACCCTATTTGGAAATTGGCATCTTTTAAAATTTGTGTGAAATTGGCAAAATTGTTAAATTCTGACCACTGTATTTGATAGTTGAAATCGGTAAATGTGTGGTTTCTTGTACTCATTCGATAGAAAAAATGGAGTTCTAGCGAGATAGTAATGATTTTTGTCGACTAGTACACTGGAATTGCGTAAACATCGTCGAGACTAACTTCGCGAGAGCATAATTCCATAAGTTTTCCATCAAATTTCATACTTTTGGTGTCATTATGATCAGGAAAAGATTCTCTATCTTTTCATAAGAATTTTTTTTTTTTTTTTTTTTTTTTTGAAATTGGGGGGACCCTGAGAACAAGTCTCTGAGAGGGCCTGCAGACCCTGAAAGGGTTAATACACATTCATTTCCATGTTTGTGAAGCTTATACCATAATACAAACACCTTACATTATGTACAAGTTGTCTCCACATTGGTACAGTAGAATAAATAAAGAGCAACACTCCCATTCTCACATAACACCATTTTTAGACGGAATGATGCTCTGTGTGAAGGCTTATGAAAGGAATAATTTTCTATAGTTACCCCCAGTAATACTATTGTGTACACATTTTCTTTGGTGCTGAACAAGAAAAAATGTTATCCTTTCCGACACTCTGGCAAGCCTATGTTTATATGTTACGTAGCGTGTTTATTGTGTAATTTTGAAAAATATCATAGATGGATCAATGAAAATGACTATACTATTAATACAAAATACGACATTTAATGTGCCTCAGGGATTATTATTGTGTATTATTATTATTAATACAGAGTCTTCAAGACTAATAAGACACTCTTGGTGATTTGAATGTGTACTTGCATGCCAGCTCAGTGTATAAGTTTATTTACATACAGGAACACAGAAGTATAGTTATTGGAGTATATATAAAATAACTTTAAAGCACTTGAAATTTTGGAAAGTTTCCAGACATAAATAAGTAAGTTACTTATGTATGTACAAACACAATTACATAGATTATCATACTTAGCAGCATATGTGTAGAGAACCTATGATAACCTAAAAGAGTCAGACAGAGTGACTTATTTCCATTCGAGAGATGCGGAGCTCACAGAGAATGTAAACAAACCGAGTGGCGTGCGGAGACTGTATTAACGAGTCAGGTGAGGGGAGCCGTATAAGGAGTTTTGGTCCTAATTTGAAATGTCCATATTAAAGAAATACCATAAAGCGAAGCGCCATGAAGCGGGTCCTACTGTATATTTATGTGTATCTGTACATAAATGCACTTACACACTGTGATGGTGTACAGGTACTCATTAAAATCACTAAGAGTGTCTTGAAGATGCCATATTAACCCTTTCACTGTCGAGACAGCTGCTCACAACCTTTCTCTCAGTGTTGAAGAATTTAAAAAAAAAAAAATTACTTTTTCTTATGAAATGCTAGAGAATCTTTTCCTGATAGTAATGAAATAAAAGTACGAAATTTGATGGAAAACTTATAGAATTATACTCTCGCAAAGTTGGCAGTCTCGGCGATATTTACGCATCGGTGGTTTTGCCCGACTTTTGGCCAATTCCATTGTTTCGTCAATCAAACTCTTCACTATTTTGCTAGAACTCCTTCTGTTCTATCGATTTAGTACAAGAAACCGCCCATTTATCTATTTCCACTACCCAATAAAGTGATCAGAAATTGGTAACTTGGCCACTTTCATACGAAGTTCAAGGAAGGCCAATTTCAAAATAGGGTCCAGAATTAATAATGCAAGCATTCCTAGCACTAAAATAACATTTTCTCTGTTTATTAGTCACGTCTCCAGGCCCCTCTTATGCTTGCTTTCCATTTTGAATTTTTATTCACACAAAAAATAGATTTACTGTTATGCAGACTACTATGTTATTGTGAAAATGGTATAAATAATATCAGCACATTTGTGAAAGCATATTAGACTCACCACTTGACGTGTACTGAATGCGTGAAGTGATTTGTTTACTCTTGAACATCGGCAAAAATAGAACATTTCCACTAATTTGAGCTCAATTTCAAGGTACTTTTCAGAAATCATCTCTATTTCTGTAATATATCTTTCATTCTATCAAATGAGACCAAGAAAACGAGAATACAACCATAAATACCACGTGAAAATACACTGCAAAGTCACTGTTTTAAACCAAAAACATGGTTGCAGGTTTTTTTTCCCTCATGCACTGTGTGCTGCAGGATTTTTTTTATACTGCACACTCTGACCACTCAGACGCATTCTCTCATATGTAGGCCTACCAGATATCTCCTGCAAGATTGGAAGCTGCTAGAATTTTGGCGTAATAGTACAGGACCCACACTGGCTTGCAAGCTGTAATATTACGGGACCGATAATGAAAGGATTAATAATGATAATGATAATACACAACATTAATCACTCCAAGGTGCACTAAATGTTGTATATTAGGTTATTATAGACATTTTCATCAATCCATCAATGATATTTTCTTCAAAATTATATAAACACATTACATAGCATATGAATATGATACATACACCCACAGTAATATAAATTTCACATGAATATGAGCTATGGTAGCCAGGCGGAGGGAAAGAATTACGTTTTCTCTAGCTCAACATCAGAGAAAATGTGTATTACTGTGCGTTTGACCCAGTCACTCCCCTTACACATGACTTCTTCTCATCACTTGTCTATCATTTATGATGACATCTAAGGGTAGTTGTTAGAAATGATTAAATTCAGTAAACAAGGTACAGTGAACCCTCAACCAACGAGGGCATCGTCTAACAATAAAATCGACCAACGAAGAGTTTTTGCGTAAAAATTTTGTCCCAACCAATGATGAAAAACTCAGCTAACAGACACTTGTCCCGAACGCTTCCATCTGTCCTGAGTGCCTCAGCTCAGCTGAGTCGGTTCTCTGAACCATTCATCTACAGTGTGCCATTGTTTACAAGCCAGGGTGGACGGTTGCACGCATACATTCGATAAATTTTGTATTATTCCATTGTTTTTAGTGCTTGTAACTGCTAAATAAGCCACCATGGGCCCAAAGAAAGCTTCTAGTGTCAACCCTGTGGTAAAAAGGGTGAGAAATGCTATACCACAGTCAGCTGCTGCTGCACCACCGTCAGCTGTTGCTGCTGCTGCACCACCATTAGCTGTTGCTGCTGCTGCACCACCGTCAGCTGCTGCTGTACCACCGTCAGCTGTACTGCTCGAAGATGTGGAGAGACTGTTGTTGGTGTGGCTTAACGAGAAACAGTTACCAAGAAACAATTAACTCCAGAGGTTTAACCACCTAGGATAACCCAGGAAAGTCAGTGCATCATCGAGGACTGTCTAACTTATTTCCATTAGGGTCCTTAATCTTGTCCCCAGGATGCGACCCACACCAGTCAACTAACCCTTTGGGGGTTTCGGCCGTACTAGTACGACTTACGCGCCAGTGTTTTTGACGTACTAGTACACAAATTCTAGCGCCTTCAAATCTTGCGGGAAAAGGCCTAGGTGTGAGAGAATGGGTGTGTGTGGTCGGTGTGCGCGGTAGAAAAAAATCTGGGACCCAGTGGTGCATTGTGGGAACGCCATTTTAGTAGACCTTGTTCACCATGCCTCACGGTAAGAAGCTCCTCACTCTTCGGCGAATTGGGACACTTTTGTTCCCTAGTGACAGTTCTAATACAGATGGAAGTGCCAGTGAAGATGAGTTTCAAGG